GCGGGGGGGGGGCAATTGCCCCCCCCCCCCTAAAAATTTTTTTTTGGCTGGGACTTAAGAAGAACGCCATGAAAACAAGCGTTTTTAAGCGAAAAAGTGCTTATTGCCCCCCCTGAAAATTATGGTCCGGCCCGCCAATGCTGTCATATGAGGGTATATCTAATGTATTCAACTTTTGTTTACAACAAACACAAGTAGGATAAAAGATAACTATACAGGGTGCTAGAGAATTTCGAGCTCTATCAGAATATAAAGGATGTTTTATAAATAATGGCCCCATTTGTATGGAGCAAGACTTTTAAAAATGGGGCCGTTACTTATGAAACACCCTTTATGTTCCATTATAGATAACTTTTGTTTAATAATTCATCACAAAAAATACATTTCTAATAATTTTTTTTTTTCACAGGACACTATTTTTCCGTGTATTGAACATGATTTATTTCAATATCAAGCCGATATTTATTCTTGATTCAACTAAAATAACTGATTTAAAATTAGATGTTATTACAAAGCGATTAGCCTCAAAAAATAGAACAACAGATAAAACTCGTTCGGCTTTTAATGTATTAATTAATGAAGTAAGAACGAACTTTTTTGTTTTTTTATTAAATAATTTTATTTTCTGAAAAATATAGTGTTCAGAATTACTTAACTATCTTGGTTTACCAATCATACGAGCTGATGGTGAAGCGGAAAAATTGTGTGCGCAATTAAATCAAATGAATGTAAGAAATCAATTATTAGGTTTATCTCGTTTTTTTTTTTCACTATTTAAAGTATTTCAGATCGTCGATGTTGTTATTACTAATGATAGTGATTGTTTTGTATATGGTGCTAAGACGATTATTCGAAATTTTGGTATCGATATGAAGGTAAATTATCTTGAAAAAAACAAAGCACATGATCAATTATTTGGAAAATTTTTGTTTTTAGTCAATATCATTTGATATTTATGATCGACATGAAATTGAATCAAATTGTCATCTTAATCAACGTTCTCTATTAGCACTTGCATTACTTCTTGGTTCTGATTATGATAGTCAAGGTATTCAAGGTATTGGTCGTGAAAATGCTTTAAAATTTCTTCAATCAATACCATCAAATATTGATCCTGTTGATTATATACGTACAGTTTTAATACGTAATAATCCACAAAATAAATATGAATTAAAGATTTTAAATATATTAAAAAATAATAATAAAAATATAAAACATTTTGATAAAATTATTAAAGAATATTCATCATTAGAATTAGATAATTTACCTCTTATTGTATCAATAGCATCAATTAAATGGTTAAAACCAGTACGTCTTAAACAACTTCAATTATATATGAAAAAGAAACTTGATTGGATTGAATCTTATACATTTATCAAGGTAAAATATTAGTTATTTGTTTTTTTGCTTTATTCAGCAAAAAGGAGCAAAATTTTCAAACAGACATAGAGATGTCTAAATATTAATCATAGTCAGTTAGTAAGATTGAAACACGACCAAGGACAAAAAACTGAAACTTTCAACTCGAAATTCGAAAATTAGTTTTCCTGATTTACTACATTTCTGAGAATGACTACAATATTGACTTTAAAAATAAAGCATCTTGACAACGATTAGCTAAGTGTGCTAACTCTTTTCACAGTATTGATAGCTTATGAGAGCCTATATGATGCATATAGTGCCGACCAGAGACCGAAAACGAACCGAACCGAACTCGAACCGACTTTTTGAAAACTCTACCGAACCGAACCGAACTCGAACCGGACAATCTTGGCTCGGTCTGGATCGGTATCAGTTCTCAGTTTTTAAAAGTTGCCTTACATATTCAAAAAAGTACTTTCACGTCTCCCAAACGGATCACTAGTTAAAGGGTAGTTAAAATAAGCAATTATCTGCCATTAGAATACTAATATACAGCTTTTATTAACTATTTTTGCCGACCCGATCCGAACTCTAGTGGTTCGATTCGGTTCGCATCGATCCGAACCGAACTCGAACCAGAAAAGTTCGGTTCGTTTCGGTCTCTGGTGCCGACTCAAAAACAATTAAAATCAATTGAATAACTTTCAAGATATTTACAGAGTCATTAAACCTATCTATCAGCAAAATTTTATGACAAAATTCAGTTATTTAATTTTTCGGTCAATACCTAAAACTCAGTCGAAAATTTAATAAAACATTTATGATTTGGTTCTAAACAGCGAGATCAATTCGATTAGTTCTCTCATTAGATTTTATTAAAGAAAATAATTAAACATCTCATATCACTTAATAATCATTCAAAACACTATATAAATTATTAATTAATATTTTATTTCAAAGGTTTTTCCATTATTAACTCGTTTTCAAATTCTTTATCGTCTTAATATGCTTGAACTTGATGTTAGCGATATACTTTCCTTATCTGATACAATCACTTTTCAACCCATCTCTATAAAAAAAATTCGTATTCGACAATTAAAACAATATTATGAAGTCGAATGGAAACAAAATAATTTATCATCAACAAAAACATTTGAAGATCAAATGGCTAATTTATCACTTATGATATTAGATAATGATGACGATGATGAAGATGAAGAAAAATTAATTACTATTGAACCAGCTGATCTCTTTCGTCATGCTTATCCTGATGTAGTCAAAACATTTGAAGTACCTATATCAAAACCAAAAAAACCAAAGAAAACAACAAACATCAATGATAATAAATCGACAGTAAAGAAAAAAAAAGTGAAACAACCATCAAAAACAGTTCCTGCATCAACATCAATGTCATTGGATCTATTAAGTATGATTCAAAATGAAACATATGAAATTCCAATAACAAAAACAATATCAAAGAAAAAACATACTAAATTTAATCATCGACCAACAATGGCTGCATTATCAACATCAATTAATATTGATGTTCTTAGTGTATTACAAAAATCTATTGGAAATATAAATTTATTGAAAAAATCAAAATCTCGACCAATTAAACATCATACTCAATCAGATATGATTATTCACAGTAAGAAAAATTTTTGAGAAATCTATTGAAGATCATGAGAAGAATTTAAAAAAAGAAAATCTTAAGGCCCCCCTCAAAAATCGATCTCAGCCCAGAAACGTTCAAATGGGCTGAAATTTTGAGCATATGTTGGGGCTGAAGTGGGGAGGCTGTGGTACAATTTTCAGCTCGATTCACTGGGATTTAACAGAGATATAAACCAAACTAGGGTCAAAAATAGCTCATTTTGGTACAAGGATTTCTCAGTCCCGGCTCGGGCAATATATTTAAATTTTTTTTGTTGGAAAGAGTGCGTCGAGATGCAGGCCACCATAGGGTCCTTTTTTTAAAATTCTTACTTTTTTAGCTGAAAAAGGGGATCACAAGTTCAATGACTCAAAAAAAGCGCCAAAAATGAGTGTCTATGTGCGTACACCCAATAAAAAACAAAGCTTAATTAAAAAAAGGACTCTAGGGTGATCTGCATCTCGACGTGCTCTTTCAAACAAAAAAAAAATGTAAATATATTGACAGTGCCCGGACCGAGAATTCCTTGTCCCAAAATCAAAAAATCATAAACCGAGAAAAAACGAAAAACATTTTTTGATTTTTCAAAAAACAGCTGGTTTTTCGAATAGGGGGTGACGAAAATCTTCGAAAATTTTTGACAAAAAGGAGGTATCGAGGAAAACTTTTTATCAGTTATGAAAGAGCAGACCAAGGGCTATCTTTCCATGCATTGATCTCAATTTCGAAATTTTTGACGAAAATTGACTTTTTTTGAGGAGGGGGGCCTTAAAGTACGGTTCGAGTCCGAAAATTTAGGAGTAAACGATGTCAATTACTCAGTGAATGATTATGATTAAATAATATCATAAATTATTTTTGTAGAATAGTGTTGCTACATTGGAAACTTCATCAATATTAGAATGGAAGCAAAATTTACAGAAAAAAACTGGAGTTTATGATCAAAGTTTAGACACAACTATAATTCAATTAAGTCCAGAGGATAGGTGAATAACATATATATTATTCATTTAAATTAAATACATCTGTTTGTTTTTTCTTGGGTTTTGTTTTTAGTTTATATACAGCAATATTAACATTAATTGAACGAAAAGTTCATCGTATACCAGTTGTTGATCCTCTAACTCATGATTTTTTATTTTTAATTACACATAAACGTATATTGAAATTTTTATATTTATACGTATGTTGTTTATTTTGAATAAATTTTTCTAAATCTTTTTTTCTCACAATATTTCATTTTTATTTGATCAGATCTATGATCTACCACAACCTCATTTTATTCATCAAACTTTGGACGAACTTCCACTCGGTACCTATAAAAATCTAGTAATGGTAAGTAGAAATTAATATTTGATTAGATTATTATCATTTTTTAATAAATTAATACGAGAAGAAATAAAATGAATTTTTACTTCATATAAAATGTATTTTTCTTCAATATATTAAATAGATGGAACCGAATATAGGTTTCTAATAACTGATCATTAAAATATTTAAAAAAAAGGTGAATTTCTCTAAGAGTTCATACTATGTGGTCAGTATACATTAGATATGAACAAGATAAAACCAACACTCTCATCAGGAGTGATATCTTTTATGGTCGTGTTAAACTTACGTTAAGCCCCCCCTCCCTTCCTGAGAAAAGTCACTTTTCGTCAGAATCATCGAAATTGAGATAAATCCATAGAAAAATAGCCCGTCATCTGCTCTTTCATAAACGACAAAAATTTTTATTCGACATCTTTTTTTTTCCAAAAAATTTGGAAGAATTTCGTCACCCCCTATTCGAAAAAACAAGCCGTTTTTACAAAAAACCGAAAATCATTTTTCGTTTTTCTCAGAACGTAGGTTCAACGACGCATCTCCAGCAGAACTCTATCACAGTAAGAGGTAAAGTCAAATACTTTTTTTTGTTTGAAAGCTTGTGTCTAGGGCTAGCGCCCCTCGTGGTCCTTTTTTTTAAAATAAGCNTGCCTATTCCATGTTGATAGAAGTAGCAAAATACTGTTCTCAAAAATGTTAAAAATAGCCAAAATCTCTCCAAAAAACTGGTAGTGAGCTGGAAATCCCCTACGAAGATCTGCTAAAACTTGGTCTCTTTTTAAAAGCCTATATATATTCTGAAAGAGGGAACTTTGCTGCATCTTTCTTTGACAAAAACTCAACTTCCATCGAATTATAAAAAACTGGATTTTCTGAAGGAGGGCTCCCTTAAAGAAGACAATTCTAGTGATATTTTATTTCTCTTTGAATTTGCATAGCGTGTTACTCTATGATCGGTATTGAACGTAGAATACAGATTGAATTTATGCTGAGCCATGCCCCGCTAGAAATTACACGTACTTGTATTTCATTTATCTTTAGTATGTCATCGATGTCAGTATCGTCATTAAAGAAAGATGTGACCCAGACATTCGACACGATTCGGCGAAAACGACCGATAATTTATCAAATATTGAATCATACTGTGATGAGTCAAACTGCTAATGCTACAATTCATGTTGGTGCCAAGTCATTATTGGCACATGTAGTCGAGGAGGTCGACGACATGGTTTCATTGGCCGATGCGCTCTTGATCGATTCTAGCACACTAAGCGGATTATGGATTCAAGGAATGTATCTTGCAGGACAACGTGCCAATGACAAGGAGATTCCGATCGTATTTGATCCGGTGCTAATTGAAGCCGCCACTTATCGCACGGAAGCTGCTTTAAAATTATTCAATTCTTTCGATATTGCCATTTTAAAAGGCAATTCGTGCGAGATTAGACACATTTACAATGTAATATTTCAAATTCCTAACGTTGCTTCTGTTACTGACGTGCTTGATCCAAGTCAGATTGTACGAAAGTTGGCTCAAAAGAGAAATGCAAAAACTATTGTGGCACTTAGTGGTGAAAATAACTACGTTTCTGATGGACGGCGGATAGCGATAGTTAAGAATCACTGCGAACGCCTCAATCAACTTACCGGTATGGAATGTATTTTGAGTGCTATGATGGCCTGCTTTGCCGGTGTCACTAATGATTATTTGGTCGCAGCTGTTGGCGGTTTCGCTGTCATGGGTGTGTGTACAGAACAGGCTACATTTGATGAATCAGTTCATGGAACAGAGAGCTTCCAAGTGGCTCTATTCGATAGATTGAGTACTCTTACTGGTAGCGAATTGAAGTCATTGATGCACATCGAATTGATTGATAATTAAAACAAGAAGCACTTGCTCATCGCAATATTTCAACACGAACCATATCATTATTCATTTCAGTTTTACACTTTAGATCGTCATACTCAAGCAAGGCTAGTTTCTAATACATATTAATACGCTTCAAAATCATTATATATATTCTAGTGCTGATTTAAAATCAATCACCTCTATGATTTCTTCGAATTTATACCAAATCAAAAGATGAATCAAGTTGTGTTGATTCCAATCAGAGATTCCAATACTGGAGACCTAAAAAGCTTTATCATATGTCTGAGACAGATTCCTATATGATATGCAATATCTATAAATTCAGAGAGAAAATTCTACCCGATATAGATTTCATTCTAATAACCATCGAAAGTGTGAGTCATGATTCATCACACTCAATCGTTTAGGTCTAACCCATTTTTGTGAGAGTTTTCCATAACTGTTTTTGATTAAAAAATCATCAACTTGGTCGCTATATTCAAATCAACCAGATCTAGTAGGGTATGGGTGTGGGTTTAGATGTGGATGTAATTCTTCTGCTCATCAACACCCAAACTCACACCCACACCCACATCCATGTCAGTATGTTAGAAGAGTATGTTTGATATTCTGCTTCATCAGAACTACGGAGTGTTCGTACTATGTGCATCCTTTGACTCCATTACCAGTTCTTGAACAATCATGACATTGTTGAATGTCTTTGCTACACTTATATTTTTCGTGCTATATTACCTGTTTTTCAATTATTATTTATAGATATTATCATAGATAGTATTTGACTCTATTTTGTGAAGCATAATAATTTATCAAATAGTCTTCTGTATGTATGTCAAAGAATTTAGATCTCATAGAAAAACTTAGCTTTTCGATCAAAACAAATCATCTTGTTTTATTATAAATCAAATTTATTTTCAAAACATATACAAAATAAAGAAAAATAAATATTTTCTTAATAAAACTTGATATAAACATCGGTGCTATGCTACTCTTCTTCTTTGGATTCATTATTCCAATCAATATTCGTTGTTTTCATCAATGTTATCAAACCAATAGGTAAATTTTCACTGTCAATAAAATCTAAGTGATTAAATGTTGATTGAATTTGTTCACCATAATAACATAGTAACCACTTTAAATAACTGTCACTATCTTTTTTCATTCTATGCTGTTTTTCCGATGACATGTGGATACTTTTATCTCGAAAGATTTCTAAATGGTCTACAAAAATGTTCGTCAAAGTAGGGGATAACCATGGAGTAATAGCTAACATCTTTTTATAAACAGCTTTCCAATGTGGAAGATGAGTTTCACGACGTTGTATATATTCGTCAAAAGTGATGAATGTTTCATCATCGTGCATAAACTGTTCTATGGATTTGAATTTTCTATGTTTTTTTGCTTGCTTATATTCAATCTCTATTTCAGCATATTTTTCAGCATCTTTGACCGATAATTGATTAAAACCGACCATCTTTTCTGATAACAAATATTGTTGAACACTATATAAATTAAGATAAATATTTTTCAAACCTAATCCATCCTGTGTCAATGGCCAATAGAACCAAGCTTCACAAATTTCATCAGTCAAACAACTAGGAAATTGTTCAACAATACGATTTGGAAGAATTGTCAAAGCATTGCCATTTGTTTCAGAAAAAATATATTGATGAAGATATTGAAATATTTCAATTATATGTTCAATATGATATGTACCCAAAATGTTAGCACATTGGCCAAAATTACGCATGAAAAAAGATATATACTTATTATATAAATTGACCCTTTCTAAAATAGTTGTTGCATTTGTTAATCGTGTTTTCATTTCATCGAGCAATGGTCGAATTGTCTCTTGATAAATGATAAAACGACCAGATGATTGTAGAGTAAGCAAACCCCATTTAACGTCTTTAGAAGGTAATATAAGATTTGTAGATAATTCATCAACATTAGTTATTATGTTTGATGGTTGAATACGTCTGGAACCACATTTTTCTTCATTAAATTTAAGTCCAGTTATTTGTGCATATTCATTCATCAATGTCCAAGCTTGTTCAATTTTAATTAATTGAGAATTAAAAAACCAAATATCATCATGAATACGATAAATAAAAATATCAGTATTTTGATATATATAGAGATCTAAACCGAATATAAGTAATTCAGCAAATAGATGAGAAAGTGAATGTGAAATTGGTACACCACGTTGACGTTGACGAATGAGTTCGTCATGTTTGTAATAAATGGGCTGTTTAAGAAAACGATCAAAAAAATGAAGCCAAATTTGAGATACTCCACAAAATTCAAGAAATATTTGAACTATTTCATGTGAAATTGAAGGTTCAAACCATTCAAGATCAGCTGATACAACAGTGAACGGTGCATTTGGTTGTAAAATTTTATGTAACTGAATTTCTACATTGATTAAATAGAATGATTTTGAATTTAAATTAAATTTATCCATATTTGCATAATTAAATACATCAAAATTACTATTTAATCCATCCGGAAGTGAAGCCATCCAATATTCTTCTTCTTGCATGAGACATCGTTTGTATTGAATTGATTTCGACGAACAATTGTCTCGAAATTTTTTATTTAATACTTGAAAAAGTACTTTTAATTCATATTTAAAATGATAACTCCATTTTAAACCTATATGTTCAAGAAAAATAGCAGTCAGAACATCTTCTTCATAGAAACATCTATATTTTCCGACTAAATTTCGACGAAATATTCCACGCACACCTTTGATAGGCCAATTCCAATCAGCTAAATCGGATATTAATAAATTTAATGAGGATTCAAATTCATTGACAGTATTTTCATCTAATCGCATTTTTGTTAGAAGTCTTTTTCGATATTCATCTAATGAATGATTACTTATAAGACTTTCAATAGCTTGTCGTATATCATTAGATGAAACTTTTTCTTTCAATAATGATTTTTCATATTGTTCTATTGACTTTTTGAATTCATCAAAAGCATCTTTTAATTTTGAATCTTTATCAAAGATAGAAAAAAGTTTGTGTTGAAGAAAATTACGCCATGCATCTAAATCTAATTGTGGTTGTTTAAAAATAATTTTTTCTAACTGCTCATTAGTTAATAAACTTTCCCAGGTTGTACAATACGGATCCGTATACGGACCAAATTTTCGGGCGCAGTAATACGGACCGTACTGTGCTTAAATTCATGGCATTACGGTCCGTAAATGACACTTGGTTTGGAGCACAGTATACGGGGGTCCGTATACGGTGAAAATAGGCCGTATTACGACGCTAACTTAAGCACAGTACGGTCCGTAATACTGCGCCCGATAATACGGTCCGTATACGGACCGTATCGTTTGACCTGGGTTTACTAGTCGATTTCATTTCTAATGGTGTATATTCATTTTTCTGTTCTGATAACCATTGAGACATAATTAAACCAAATAAATAATTGTATTCAGAACGTTTCTTACCATCAACAATCACTTTTATGAATTGTTGACGAAAATTTTCCAATACATTATTCGATGTCGATGTATTGACTTTAGCTATTGTCAATATGGCATCGAAATTTTTCAAATATCGTTCTTTACTCGTTTCATCAAATAATCTTTCTATACTTTTCTTCAACATATAAACTTTATCATATACTGATATAGTAGAATCATTATTCTGTTTCATAATTTCAATATATTCTTCATCAAATTTCTTTTTACGTAATTTGAAGCGATCTAATTTTAATTTCGTCATTAAACTAAGTGCTTCACGATCAGGTGGTGTATTAAACGATGTTGTATTGATTGTTTGCGTATCCAATGACATTTCTTTTATAATTTTCTTTCGTTCTGTTACAATATTATTCCTATAGGCAATGCACTGCTTTTTATACTATCGATTTTGCGTCATGTTTCGAAATTACATAGAAATTTCATCTTAATGAGTAATAATTATTAACCTAATTATTGGAAAATAATAATGAGTAATGTATGATTGTTGCAGAGATAGTCAAGTGAAATTATTGCTGATTTGATTTAATTCGAGCATTTTTTGAGTGAATAAAAACATGACTTACATAACTTGGTTGTATGTAAAAAGAAAACTGTTATCGTAATCCATCATGCAAGAATCAAATTATGAAATATAATGTAGTTACTATTGCTAACTACAGGAAGATTATTTTATTATATCTATTTCGAGTCATATTTCTATAAGGAATAGTCAATCAATTCAATATTAATGTGATGCAGAATTTTTCATCCTTTTTGTTTGTTTCTAATAGTCTTAATCGTCGTCTATCAGCCAAGAAACGGTTAATTTTATCAATCAATGAACAACAAACCATTTGCTTATGTATAAATCAGGTGTTTCAGATTGCAGGAAAAACTTTCCAAAGAATCTGAATCTAGTTTTATCATCCTAGAATTCAGCATTAAATCTTGATTATTTTTCACATCTGAAATCTCCTTCATCTATCGACGAAATCATGAATATCATGAAAAAAAAAACTGTTTCAATAGTAGAAACACAATTTCTGACTTGTAAAATACTCTTGTAAGATAAAAAGCAAGAATTTGCGATAATTTCTACAAAAAAAAAGACTATTTTTTTCGTTGGTGAGTATGTTTAAGAGGGAGCATAAGATATATTAGTCGGTCTTGTTTTCACTTACACTCACAGTCTTTTTGAATTTTCATTTTGTATAATTTGATTACAAAATTTTAAAAAAATTATACACATGAATCCATCAATTTTAAAATATCAGAAAAACACATTTGATTTGTTACTTGTTTTATTGACAACTTTGATTATGAGTTCTCATTTTCCGTTGAACTTGATCCTTGAAAAATATTATATTAACAATGATTTTCATTTTATGTTTATTATGATAAATCAATTGAAATGAAAAGTTAACTTGTCGAGAAAATGATTTTTCTTGATTGTTTCGATCGTCTAACATATATATATAAATTTTATGAATCTTTTTTTCAATTTTGGGTGTGGGTGTAGGTGTGGGTTGTGGGTGGTATGGGTATGGGTGTGGGTGTGTGAGATAGAAAAAGACCAAAACGACACCCACACCCTCGCTCAAAAATACAAACCCTTCCATTGTTAGTGGCATTGGATTATATGATTCAAATACAAAATAGGCTGTACATAATAACACTTCGATACCAGCTACACACAGCTATCATATTGGCAAATGGAAACGTGTTAGTTATTGGTGGCTATGGTTCGAATTCTTCTCTACGCAGTGCTGAGTTTTATGATGCATGAACAGAAACGTGGACAACTATTGGTAACATGAATGATGCACGAGATGAACACACAGCAACCGTCTTAACACATGGGAAAATATTAGTTACTGGTAGATCTGATGATGGTGTGACTTTGAACAGTACAGAACTCTATTCATCATTGCAAATACATTAACTCTTTGAAAACATTTTTCATCTTCAATACGAATCTAGTCTTGTCTATGAAATGTTATCTTTAAAGTAATTACAATTGCCTTTTGATTATAAACAATTATCTTTTTGAAGATGTTTATGAGCTGATAGACAGTCGAACTATTCTAGAAATTCTAAGCAACTAGTACGAACAGATTAATCTCAGTCGAAACTCTCTTCAACTGCATATGAATTCTCAAGCTGGAGTTCATATTGCATAGTCATGTAAGACTTTAAAAAATGCCAGTGTACCCGTTTTGAGATTATTCAAAGAAAAATTCATTTTCATATCAGATACTATATTTCCAGTGCAACTTGACATCGTTTTAGGCGTTTTTCTAAATTTTTTTCTTTGCCAATTGGTCAGAAAGTGAGATTTTTATTTCATGTAATCAACACATTTAATCAATTCTAAGTACGTGTATTCATGAAACAAAAGCTGGTTGATTTTTAACAGATGCTAATACTGATCTATCAGTTGACCGGCTTTTAAAACGAGTTCAGCAATCCTAGATAAATAAAATGTTACATAGAAAGTTGATTCTATTCGACATTCGTCTTGAATCATATAGTCGAAATATTTTGAATTGAAGCATTTAAATATGCAAAATGCCAGTTATTAGTTGTGATCACTTACGAAAATAAGTCAATTACGACACAACGTTGTATATTATGGAATTTGAGACTAATCGGTGTTAATTTTTTACTTATCGGATCTTCAATAGTAGGATGAATAATGTCTACCAAAAGGAATGGAGGATTTCCATGAATAAAATTTGCAGGCTCAGCGATCACTTGTGCGTTACATCGCCAGCAGTCCCTATAAAATTCAGTTTTTGAATATTTTTATTTGGAATTACTATTAAGCTTACTCTTTTTTTATTTTATTTGTATGTATGCTCATGATTTTTGTTGCATATTTTTTACTATTTATTAATAGCCAAAGGATCAAATAACATCCTGTCTTTGCAGCAAAACTCAGCTTTGTAGAGCTTGAGAAGCTGATTTTAAGTAGCTAATTAAAATCAACAAATGAGCAAAACCTAGGAAGATCGACCTATACGAAGATATATTCGGAGAGCGTGTACAATCCATCAGAAAGAAGGTAGGGAGAAGACTCCAAGAACTGAAGTCGACGTAAATGTGCGCTCTGTCCGACGCGAATTGAACCAGAACAATACACTTCTTTAATTTTCATGAAATTGATAGATACCGGACTCCTTTGAGGCAACCCATTAAACGACATGTTGCAAATGGTCATTTTGATATGACTTGTTGGACCCTTGTGGTACTGGAAAGACGGGGTGATTGTATTCTTTCAAAGTAGATCCCAGAGATATACTCTTGCGAATTCGACTCCTGGGAAGGTTTTGAGAAGTGAATCTCACATTTTGATGGAGAGTAGATAGAGCTTGTTGACTCGTGAAGAAAGCTTTCAACAAAATACGAAATTCATTCATCACTACTTACTCAATATCTTGATCGAGTTCAAAGAATGTAGCGAAATTTTCAGATTCCATTTGAAAGTATCCCATTGTATTATGTTACTCGACATCTATTTGTGATATCTTGCTTTTATTCACATATCAACGTTATATTACAATTGCTAGAAAAATACTTAATTCATCTTAATCAGACAAGCAACAAAATAGTTTTGTATCGTCCGCAATACATTTGTGTGCTAAAAATGTTTCATATTAACTTTTATGATAATTATAGCCTATAAACCCGTGTCTGTTCAAGATTTTTTGATCAAAATCATAAGAGCACATTTTCAGTCACATGGCCGTGAATTTATTAATTGAAATGTAGACATTGAATAATAATAACATGCGATGCAAAAGTCTTTGCAAAGATGTCCAGCTCTATTTCGGACGGAGAACACATGTTTGACTGAACATTTTGTAATCAACTGATAGCTTGTTCTGTCCTCTTTCTAACGCTGTATGACTCGATGATACAGCGCATTACTATCAAAATGACACGAGACGAAAGAGAAGCTCTCTCGCAACGTATTTGCAACTTCTATCATGATGATTCTAATAATTCCGTACAGTGAAGACTAATTAAATAGCAGAGAACAATATAGCTTTATTTTCTCTATCACTACATTAAAAAGAATGTTTCTTTCAGGTTTCTATAAGAAAATAAGATCGTGGCGATACTAGTTTTGAATTGTCTTAAGTATTTTTCATAGAAATTCATGCATAGTTCGTTTTTTATTGAAAAACTACTTCAAATACATGAGAAGCACTTTAAATAAGAGTGTAGCAACGATACATATTTATTCTTCTATAATACGGTTCTTTAATCAATGTAGATTCTTTTTGTTAAATTAAGAATGAATCCTGTCATTTACAAAGATATCTATAAGATGAATTTAATTGGTTGTGACTGATGCTATGCTACTGAGCCATGTTTCTTGAGGTGAAAACCTTCATAATCATGGGTTGCGACATCCTTGCACTTCTGATGATACGAAACAATGCCGCCGACATATGGCATGAAAACTCTTGGTTTTCCTGGTATATTTGCTCCCATATACCATGAATTGGCGAGAGGATATAATGTAGCATTGGCAACTTCGTTAACGTGATTAACCCATGCATCTTCAGCCTTGATTGTGGCTTCAATACTGTCAAAATCGTGCTTTTGCAAATAATCAAGGCATTTTGCCACCCATTCAACGTGATGTTCAATTGAGACAGCCATGTTGCTTAATACCGATGGACTTCCAGGACCAGTGATCATAAATAGATTCGGAAAATCAGCAGTCATGATACCAAGATAAGTACGTGGTCCTTCTGCCCATTTTTCTTTAAGTGTACGACTTGATCGACCTTGAATATCGATGCTGCACAGAGCTCCAGTCATGGCGTCGAAACCAGTAGCGAATACAATATTGTCGACCTCGTACATCGTGCTCTTAGTTTTGAGCCCAATCGGCGTAATTTCTTCGATATTTTCTTTTCGAAGATCGACAAGAGTAACATTATCACGGTTATAAGTTTCATAATAATCGGTGTCGACACAAAGACGTTTAGTGCCTAAAGGGTGTCCATACGGTAGCAAAGACTCAGCAGTAGTAGGATCTTTGACAATTTTTCGGATTTTCGAACGTACAAATTCTGCAGCTGTGTCGTTAGCTTCTTTATTCAATAGCAGATCGTTGAATGTGGATCGAAATGCCAAGCCTCCTTTTTGCCACTGCGCCTCATATGCCTGCTGTCGTTCCACTGGAGTAACACTCATTGCCGATTTATCACATGTCAATCCGACCATTTCAACACCGCGAAATGTTTCCAAAGCTTTACGTCGGTGTTCTTGATAATTGGCTTTCCACAACTGCTCGTCTTTCTCATCAAGTGGCGCATTATGGCTTGGAATACTGAAATTTGGCGTTCGTTGGAATACATAAACATGAGCTGCTTCTTTTGCGATGTATGGAATACACTGTATGCCAGAAGAGCCGGTTCCAATAACGGCAACACGACGATCGGTAAAGTTAACATCGTCATGAGGCCATTGACCAGTATGATAGACATTGCCTTTGAAAGTATTCAGTCCTTTTATATCAGGTATTTTTGCCACCGACAAACAACCTGTTGCCATGATGCAGAAACGAGCAGATATTCGATTGCCACGATCCGTTTGAATATTCCAACACGAAAAGATCTCATCAAAGACTGCAGCTGTTACACAGGTTTCAAATTGAATATCTTTGCGTAGATCAAATCTGTCTGCCACATGGTTGAGATAGCGTAGAACAGTTGGTTGATCAGAATAACGTTCTGGCCAGTGCCATTCCTGTTGCAAATCCTCACTAAATGAATACGAATACTGCATGCTCTCGATATCACAACGAGCACCAGGATAACGATTCCAATACCATGTACCACCAACTCCACCAGCAGCTTCGAAAATTCGTGCCGAAATTCCAAGTTCTCGCAAACGATATAGCATAAACAATCCGGAGAATCCAGCACCAACAATTACTGCATCGATCGTGTGAAGAGACTTTGCGTTATTATCTAAGTTTTGTTCCAATTCAGTCATGCTGTTTTACTTCACGTAGACTTGTATATAATAGAAGTTAATGGCATATAGTGTAAAGCATAGAGATATATAAATGTGAGTCAACGTTGCTCTTTTTTTGTTATAATTAGATAAGAACGGTAAAACAGTCACATGTATGCAATTTAACTATATGACAACCATATATACCATCTCGAGGGTTAGGGATGTGCAGTTTCGGTGAAAACAGTGAATTACTGACAACGTGCCACTGACACTGGTGTTCACTGAATCAGTGCATACACTGACACTGATTGCACTGGTTCCACTGTCTACACCGACATTGGTGTTCAGTGAACACCAATGTCGGTGTAGACAGTGGAATCAGTGTGGGTGTGGGTGTGGGGTGTGGCTGTGATTGTGGGTGTGGGTGTGTGGGTGCGGGTGTGTAGGTGCCTAGGTGTGTGGGTGTGGCTGTGATTGTGGGTGCGGGTGTGTAGGTGCCTAGGTGTGTGGGTGTGGGTGTGGGTGTGGGTGACGGTGTGGATGTGGGTGCGTGTCTGTGGGTGGTGTGGGCGTAGGTGTTTGGGTGTGAGTGTGGGTGTGAGTGTGGGTGTTTGTATGTGAGTCTCTATACCCACACCCACACCCACACCCACACCCACACCTACACCCACACCCACACCCACACCCCACACGCTACACCCACACCCACACCCACACCCACACCCACACCCACACCCCACACCCACACCCACACCCACACGCACACCCACACCCTTTCTTTCTTTTAATGTCGATGATGGTTGATGATAGAAAGAAAATCTCATATGAAACACTATTTGCGGGCAAATATGAGATGAATATTTATGTTTAGAATAAAACAAGAAGTTGTTGTTGCGTTTAAACTATTAAGCCTTTTCATTTTTAAGCTTATTAATCATGTAAAGTTTTCAATAGCGATACATTTGCCCAAGATATTGAAAAATAAATCCGTTTTCTCGAGACACAAGAAGAAAAGAGCTACCTTAATAATGCATGCATATCTAGATTTTGTTTCTACAATATATTGATGGTTCAGTTTTATATTGTTCGAAGTGGGTGAAAATCGAAAAGCAAAAGGAAAATAATACTAACCATGTCGGAAAGATGTCTTTAATTACTTATTTTTTTTTCTTACTAAGAGAAATAATTGTTTTCGGATGAAATAAATTTTGCACGAATTAAAAATATTATTAACTTTTAGTTGATTAAAAAGAATAGATTTTTCAGAATGGAAATAAAAGTGATGAAAACACTTTCAATTAATCTTTGTTAAGAAAGCTAATTCATTATTGTTTCTTAAAAATAAAAAACGATAGTGAAGAAAAAAATGCATTGTTAGAGAATAACAGCAGACACCCTAAATATATCTTTTAATGCTGAAAAATAAACAATTTGTTCATCTTTGCTTTTTAATGATTAAGATTCTATGTATCTGTATTTTTTAATAATAAACGTTGACGATGTCATCACTTATCCACATGTTGGAATCTAGTCTCGTAGTATTTAATTCGAGGCATATTTTAATAAAAGTGTTTCATACAAGACGTTTTATATTAATTTTATCTTAAACATTTTCTCATTTGTGACAAAAGTTGAATCATGTCACATTGATATTCAAACTATTCCAGAAAAGAATTTTTTATTTTGTTTTTTCCCTTCCTTCAAATGTGAGCTATACAAGTGTCTGAAATAGATCGATAATGAACTCCTCATTTGTATTGCAGAGGTTAAGTGTAGTTTTTTTATGCAATGCTGAAAAAGTGTATGTACGTGAAAGTGTATTTAGCTTATCTCCACCAAGAAATCAAACTATTGAGCAGATATGCTTCCCTTCAATGCAAATATATTGTTCATCCGCATATTACAGGCGGAAGATGTCGTCGTCTTCTGTGTATAAATTCTAGTCAATGGAAACCAGTATCAGTACGTCAGTGTTCCAGTGTGCGTCAGTGCAACCAGCGCAGTCGGTGTCAGTGTATGTACTGATTCAGTGAACGCCAGTGTCAGTATATGTACTGATACAGTGAACGCCAGTGTCAGTGTATGTACTGATACAGTGAACGCCAGTGTCAGTGTATGTACTGATTCAGTGAACGCCAGTGTCAGTGTCATCAGTGTACCGGTGAACGCCAGTGTGACTTTATCGGTGATCAGTATACTGAAACTGCCCATCCCTATTGAGGGTGTGGGTGTGGATGTATGGGTGTGTGAGTGTGAGTGTGAGTATGGGTATGGGTATAGGCATGGGTTTGATTCCTCTTCACTTCTTCAATAGCGTATCCACACCCTGAAGAATCTTCTATGTCGTTAGATAGCAGCAGCTAATTTGAGTTTATCAATAAACCTACTTTAAAAACAGGGAAAACTTTTAGAAATAAAGATAAATGGGGGAGAGAAACTAAAATTCTTTAGAGTCGTGCTACGGGTCAGAATCATCGTTAAAAGATTCAGGTCACACAAACATATATGATGGAGCCAGCAAAAAGAAAAAACCCCAAGAGGACTGATGAATGTGCCTGACTAGCTTTGAAAACCTGCAGTATACCCACAGAATGAATTTTGGGTGACGGACTAAAAAGTTTACGAATGCTGTCGTAAAATGCATCGAATTAATTTTGATGCTATACAAGTAATATTTTGTCGAATTGACATATATTATCGAAGAAAACAGTAAATGTAAGCTTTTGAGGTCAAGGTTTCTCGGCTCTCCATACTCTTAGTCACAATTCATTGAATTTTTTTTCATATCGTATAATTAATCAAGAGACGAATGTTGAATTATAAATATAATACAATGAAGAGTTTGATGGTGACTTGTATAAAAGTCCTACCAGTATGATAGTAAAACATTTATGATGATGACGATGAAAGTGAAATGTTTCGCTTATTCCAAAACTGGATGTGGATATGGATCTTCTTGTCTGACACATTCACAGTCAATCCTTTCTTGTAAAGCTATTGTCGCCGGCGTTCAGAAGAGATTTAGTATGATATCTTTTTGTTTTCATTAAAAAAAAATTTCTTAGAATGTAGACATAAAGAAAAACCCAAGAAAGCACAGAAAACAAACATAACTCATATAAGATTGAAAAACGAACATGTTTTTCAACTTTCGAATTCATTTCAAGATCTTCAAGCTTTTCTTCTATATTTCAATAAAAAATAGCTCAATATACCGAATTTCTATTCTCTCTATTATGCTAATGCCATTTGACGAATGTTGAATTCTTGCTCATCATAGTTTTTCTCATAAAAACATCTGCTGCAGAGTATCATTCTAGTTGATAACTTATTCTTCACGAACAATACGATCTGTACTAGTTATCAACGAAAAATTCTAATAGTAATCATTGAAAATAAGAAATATCGCAATACATATCATAGCAGCTTGATTAACAATCAAGAACCTGAACCACGAAAAAAGTTAAACCCTAAAATTGCTACAAATCAGATTAAAAACTTCACAATAGAGTAAAGTTTTAGGAGAAAAACGAAATTGATATTGTCGTTGTAAATTAAATATTGCTATCATCACGATGAATGCATAAATAAGCACATCTATAGGCAAAAACGAGTCAATCGGTTCTAGAATAAAAAAATTATTTTTTGTTTTTATTACTTCATTACACTGCTTTATCATTTGCTAGTGTCCTTCTAGCTATTTACTTTCGCTCTACTTTGACTTAAAAATACAAAAATCATTCTTTTTTTGCTGCATTTTTTTTTCAGTTACTGTCCCTCCACCTATAAAAGTCGAAATNTACTGTCAGCGACAACATGAACAGCATCAAAGTATCAATATGTTTTGCTTTTATCTTGGTATTTATGACAATATACTGCAATGCACGAGCTGCAGAAGATTTCTTTCGATCTGAGCAGAAACGTAGTTGTGTTCCTTTTAATGGTCGTTGTAATGTAGATTCTGATTGTTGTGGTTCTGATGATCCTGATTCTGGTCATTGTCTTCTTTGTACTGGTGTTCTTGATTATTTTTTTGAGAAAAACTATGATGAGCAAGAATTCAACATTCGTCAAATGGCATTAGCATAATAGAGAGAATAGAAATTCGGTATATTGAGCTATTTTTTATTGAAATATAGAAGAAAAGCTTGAAGATCTTGAAATGAATTCGAAAGTTGAAAAACATGTTCGTTTTTCAATCTTATATGAGTTATGTTTGTTTTCTGTGCTTTCTTGGGTTTTTCTTTATGTCNACACGAGCCATGTTAAAGATTTTTGTTGTTCACGTTTGTTACAATGTTGAATACAAAACACATTCGTATTTATATTCGAGCAGTTGCAAAGTGGGCTTGCATATTTGCTTTAAATCATGAAAAACAAAATCTACAATGATGTCTTGATTTTCCTGATTGGTCGTTAACATGCATGATATCGTAATACGTATCATTTATCTATTATATACCTTCTCATAATAAAATTAGCATGGATTTAGATTGTGTAGAATGAAATGAGTCATCCTGTATGTTGAGTCATATCTTTTCAGCTTTACTCTCTCTTAATAAACAAAGAGCAGTGTGTGTTTCGCTAAATAGCTTTTTTTGGTTTTATTTATGTCTAAGTGTGACATGATTATCAATATATGATTATATGTATCATATGAAGCAGAAGAATCCCTATTAATGCTTCCTTCGAAACTCGATAGAATACTAAATAGTACTGTTAATGTGATCAATGATGTTGAAAAGCTTTCACATACTTTAGAATATAGAGATTTTGAAAGATTTAGATATGTTCAATGGGTGTCTTCATGAAAGATTGTTGGTGTCCTATAGACAAGTACGGAGCTGCAGCGATGAGAAGAAATACCATGGCTCATGGTCTTCATAAATTGAGCAACCTTGCCATGAATTGAGAAATAATGAGTATAAGTGTAATTGATGAAGGACATGAAGATATTCAAGACTGATGGGTGATCATCATTTCTTCTGTTAGAAGCGACAATAATACAGTCTGCTACCACGATCGTGGTGACTATTCGATTCTTCGCACTGTGCTTGTGACAGGAAAAGCTGTATAGTGGACTCACAGAAACGGATACAGAAACACAAGAGATTCTCTATTTTCTTCAATAAAGTATTTATCAGTGCTTCTCATCGATAATGTTCAACACAAAATCGGCAGACGTACCAGCTACAGTGACTGATTACGCTCCTGGACCTCGAAACGAGAGAAACTTAACCTAATATATTAATAATCTTATTAGCACTATATACTTACTCGTTCCATCAGCATTACAAAATCTTTTATCGCTTACCGGGACATGAAGCTTACATCAATCGATGCAAAACTTTTAAAGGTTATGCATTGACCATCTTATCATCTTTCGGCAAGCGACTGCATAAGATGTGAAACGAATTTCGCATGGCAGTTTGTCGGTTTCTGATAGATTTCAGTGAATTTTCCTGATTTTTAGGAACTACACATCGTTACGAGCTTTTGGCGTTTGATGAATTCTTGTTTGAAACCATTTTTTCATTTTGTTGAAGGAAGATATTTTGATAACTAGTAGCGTTTTAGAATGCTAATGGATAAAATCTTGAACAAATCTGATTGGATGTTTATAGCTATTTTTTTATTATTCTTCATAGTAGCTTCACATCGATGCATAGATGCAGTTTCGTACTGGTCTATGAAACATCAATAAGCTTTCATAAGACGGTCAGCGAACACATATCAATCTTTAAGAATATCTATATTGGAATCTATGTGAAAGGTTTCCAACATCGTCGGTCGTTTTAGCAGTACTGGTCAATATTTGTATCAATTTTTCGAGACTACGTCTTCAAATACTATTTGCCTGATTTTTACATATTCAAATGCAACGAAGATAGTATAATAAAAAAGAAGGCACATATATCAACCAGTTAGTTTCTATTTTTGTTCTTGCATCTGATATTCTCTGCTTTACATCAATATTCGTACATACTTTTCTCACTTGAATCTTTGATATTCTTTCTTTCAGTTACCTTCGTCATCATTGTGTTAGCGAAACAAACACAGTGAGTCACATCGATAGAGAAAACCTTTCAATAGGGATTCTTCTACTTCCTATAATACATATACTCATACCATTCATAATCATGTCACACTTAGACATAAATAAAACCAAAAAAAGCTATTCTGACGAAACACACACTGCTCTTTGTTTATTAAGAGAGAGTAAAGCTGAAAAGATATGACTCAACATACATACAGGATGACTCATTTGATTCTACACAATCTAAATCCATGATAATTTTATTATGAGAAGGTATACAATAGATAAATGATACGTATTACGATATCATGCATGTTAACAACCAATCAGGAAAATCAAGACGTCATTGTAGATTTTGTTTTTCATGATTTAACGCAAATGTGCAAGCCCACTTTGCAACTGCTCGAATATAAATACGAATGTGTTTTGTATTCAACATTGTAACAAACGTGAACAACAAAAATCTTTAACATGGCTCGTGTGTCGATTATCGTCGTGCTTATAGTCGCTTTAACATTACAAATGTGTAGTATGTATACGAGACTAAAAGATATTTAGAATTTAATGAATCATCTTTATCTATTTGATTTCTCTAGTCGTTGATGTGTCTGCCATTTCGTTTTGTAATATCCCGACCGCCGTATGTTATCGAAAAGGGGTTAGTTGCAAAGATAAATGCATAAGATGTCGCCATAAAGATGGGTATTGTAAAAGAATCCTTTTCGTGAAGTATTGCAAATGTACCGGTTGATTTCAACCACAACATCATCTCAAATAACATGAACTTTGTTTAAATCATTTTTCTTTTGCACTATTTTATGACACTTCTTCATTTATTTATTTTAATAAAGCATCCAAATCAGAAAACACACTTTAAATGTATGGATGTGCAAGAAATAGTAGAAACTTGTGAACTAACCTAGTTTCGGCTAATTTTCATGAAGTGCTTCTTAAAAGAAAAAAGAACAACAAAGATTGATATACTCGATATTCGATTGTGGTGATTAGAAGTCTCTCGAAATTATTCTCTGCTGAAGATTTCTACTACATAGTATAGTTTAATTAATATTGACCATTGACAATGTTCATTAGCTCTAGACTAGAGGATCACACAAAAGCATGTGTTGCATCGTTTGACTTACAATCGCGATTAACTACTACTTTCTGGTGTCTCGTATTGATTTTGATGATAATTGTTTCCTTCTTAACTGGTACTACAGATCTGGCAGTTTGTTCTTTGAAAATATGCACCATCAATTGTCGTATATATTGGCATACTTTACTTTTCTTTAATAATAGCATCGAAGCGAACGGTTCAGGATGGCAAACAAGAACAGAATGACTCATATGCTGTTTGTCCTCTTGCAAGTGCTGCCATAGCATTTCTTCATGTAATTGGCAAGGAGCTAGAAAGTTGTTAATAATTGCCAAACGTCAGTGCCTGATGATATTGAATCTTTATCCAATACTACTGCTGATTCTTATGATTATAGGAACTTATTTTATTTATATAAGATTTGAACCTATTGTTTGAGAAATGCATGCCTGTATGTCATTCACTGGAGTATGTCAGGATGTTAGAAGAGCATATTTGACATTCTGCTTAATTCGAACTGCAGAATATTCGCACTATGTATCCTCTTACTTCATTATAAATTCTTGAACAACTATGAAAATGATGGATTTCTTTCCTAATCTTATACTTTTCTTTCTATTTCGCTTTTTTTCATTGATTATTTGTAGAAAGTATTAACAAAGACAACATTTGATTCTATTTTCTGAAGTGCGATAATTATTTGTTATATAGTTTTATTTAAATATCGAAGAATTCAAATAATCACTGAAGAACTTTCTTAACTTTTCGATCAAAGCAAATAATTTTTTTTATTGTAAATCAAATTTATTTTCTAAATACATTTATACGAAACAGAGATAAAGAGATATTTTTTTTATACAATTTAATGCACAGTTCACTTCAGTCTCATTTTTCCATATATAAGAAAGTTTTCATGCTATTCTTCTTTTTTTGATTCATTATTCCAATCAGTTCTGTTTGTTTTATTATCAATGCTACAAAACCAATAGGTAAATTTTCGCTGTCAATAAAATCTAATTAATTAAAAGTTGATTGAATTTATTCAGCATAATAAAAGAGTAATTATCCTAAGTAGCTATCACTATCTTTATTCACTCTATGCTATTTTTTAGATGACATTTTTGTAATTTTATCTAAAAAAGTTTCCATATGGGCTGCAAAACTGTTCGTCAAAGTAGGTGATAACACGGGAATAATAGCTAACATATTTGTGTAAACACGTTCCCAGCGTGAGAGATGAGTTTTATGATCTTGTATATATTCGTCAAAAGTGATGAGTGTTTCATTATCGTGAATAAATTCTTCAAAAAATTTAAATTTTCGATGCATTTTTTGCTTGTTTATATTCGACCTCTATTTCAGCATATAGTTCAGCATATTTAGCTGGTAGCTGATTAAAAATGATGATCTTTTTTGATACCAAACATTGTTGAATACGGTATAAAGTAAGATAGATATTTTTCAAATCCAATCCATCCTATGTCAATGGCTAATAGAACCAAGCTTCACAAATTTCATCAGTCGAACAACTATGATATTGTTCAACAATACGATGTGTAAGAATTATCAAAGTATTGCCATTGGTTTCAGGAAAGATACATCGATGAAGATATTGAAATGTTTCAATCATATGTTCAATATGATATGTATCTAAAATGTTAGCACATTGACGAAAATTACGCATGAAAAGTGATGTATATTTGTTGTATAAATTTATCCATTCTAAAATAACTGTTGCATTTTTTAATTTTATTTTCATCTCATCAAGAAATGATGGCATTGTTTTTTGATAAAGAATAAAAACGACCAGATGATTGTAGATTAAGCAAATTCCATTTAACATTTTTACAAGATAAGATGACATTTGTTTATAGTTCATCAACATGAATTATTATGCTTGATGGTTGAATCTGTGTGGAATCACTTTTTTTGTTTTTCATTAATGTCCAAGCTTGTTCAATTTTAATTGATTGAGAATTAAAGAACAAAATACTATCATGAAGACGATAAATGAAACTATTAATATTTTGATGTAGATAGAGATCTAAACTGAATAGAAGTTATTCGGAAAATAGATGAAAAATTGAATGTGAGATTGTTATATCACATTGATGATGACAAATGAGTTTATCACATTTAGAATAAACTGATTGTGTGAGAAAACGATAAAAAGAAATCAAGCCCAATATAAGACACTCCACAAAATTCAAGAAATATTTGAACTATTTCATGTCAAATCAATAGTCTAAATCATTCAAGATCAGCTGATATAACAGTGAATGGTGCATTTGGCAGTGAGATTTTATGTAACTGAATTTCTACATTAATTAAATAAAATAATTCTGATTTTAAATTAAATTTATACATATTTACACAATTAGATTCCTTTTCGTTACTATTCAATCCATTCAATACTCGTCTTCTTGTATTAGACATAGCTTCTATTGAATTGATCTTGGTGAACAATTGTCTCAAACACTTTCATTTAATACTTTGAAAAGTATTGTTAATGCATGTTTAAAATGATAAGTTCATTTTAAGCCTAGATGTTCAAGAAAAATAGCAGTAAAATAATCTTCATAGGAAACATCGATATCTTCCGACTAAATTTCGACAAAACATTTCACGTATACGTTTGATAGGCCGGTTCCAATTGGCTAAATCAGATATTAATAAATTTAATTAATGTAGAAATTCAGTTACATAAAATCTCACTGCCAAATGCACCATTCACTGTTATATCAGCTGATCTTGAATGATTTAGACTATTGATTTGACATNATGTACTACATGAATGTTCTTGATACCTTGCTGTTTACTTGGACAAAGTAATTAAATAGTACTGCCACTTTTGTCAATGTCTGCATGCACATTTTCTTATATTGCGATCATGCAAGAGAAACGGTAATTTCCATTGACATAGGTTATCTACGAGAACATATATACTACATGTCAGTCTGAGATCGACTGTTTTTCAACGCCTTCTTTTCTAATGTAGAGGCTAACTATAATCTGTAAATGCAATGGCTTTTTCGAGTATGTAGCTAAACTCAAAATGTATATAGATTATCTCAACCTGTTCATCTATTCAGTGTTACGTTTGGTTCAATTGATGATGAAAACTATTCGAGCTTATATTGAAACAGGTGAACCAATGAATAAAGCAGAAGCTTATGGTATTCAATCTTTGGGTGCAACATTAGTCAATGAAATAGATGTTGATTATTTTAACGTAGTTGGTTTTTCAATTTATCATTTTTGTATACAATTAAAGGCATTGCTTAATAATGAAATCAAATTTTAAAAAGTGATCATTTGTTAAAAGATGAGAAAAAAAACCAAGCATACAAGTCAAATAATATTTCTTAAAATCATTGATAATTGTAATATGTTATCAAATCTCATGTTGATTAATAGAGTTTTATCACATTTGATTAGTATTCTATAGTGTCTGTCGGTTTCTCAATTTTCAGATTTTTGTACCGAATCGAAAAAAAAAGTGAAACATATTTATTTTTCTCATCAAGAAATAGGTTATTTTTTCTTGTGTCTACAATTAATAAGACACGAAATTGTTTAGCAAGAAAATCTTGAGAGCATGAAATGCAAATATGAAAATTCAATTTGTTTATGATTTCTATGCATTTTCTAAATATCCTATGTCATATACAAAAAAAAACCTAGAGCAAGCAATGAATTTGTTATTTGAAACTACACATAATTTCACATATGTGACTTTTCTCTCGTTTTGTTTAGATCATGAAAAGAAAAAAAAAGAATTTTCACATGTAACAAGACAGTCAACTCATTCATAGTACATCATAGACGCGTTCGATTACTTAATCATCTTTTCAATCATGTATAGACACCTGTCATCCGTGGCAAATATTAATTTTTTTTTCTTTCTTTTAATCATCGATTGAATGAATTATATCAATCGATGAGATTTTCTTCCTCTTTTCTTTATTATTATTAATACAATGAACGATTGTTACATTAGAACAGAAAGAATAATTATTCTATTCAAAAGAAAGTTTTTCTTTTCTCTTTATTTTTCTTCAACTTGCCGGATAGTTCTCTTTTATCCGATAGAAAAACACTTTTTGTTATTGATACACAAAAACATACCGTAATATGAATGTGAGGATGAGAGTGGAGAGAGAGAGATGTATGACCACATTCTCACACTCAAGATATGAATGTTATTCAACTACAATAAAATTTTATTTTTATTTTAAATAAGTTAAACAAACTTTTTATTTAAATTCTTTTTATTTTTTTTTGTAAGATAATTAATGTCCGCGCCAGAATAAAAGAGGGGTGAGTGTAAGCTCAATAACTCGACAACCGCAATACCTAGCTACCTGCGGTTTTCACCAATCGAAAGAGGAGGAGCGGGCACGTCTTTTTCTTCGATAATGTATAAGACGAAATTCTTTTAAAACTAATGATATTTGAAAAACAT